GCAAACTTATATCTACAAAATTATCAGTCCATTTAGGTCCAGTTAGCTTTTTTCCTTATTTTCCAAAGTTTTTTGTTTCATTTTTTTTTCTCTTACGACAGATAAAGGTAAATGGTATTTGCGATCACTATCTTCGCATTCACTGCTGCTTATATGTTGGAGTTCGACTTCCCCAGCGACTTCTTGCGGCATGAACGAAGTACTATCATTAGACGTGACATTTTCATAAAAGTCCTCTTCATCTGTCTGTCAATCACCAGCAGGAGGAATGACAACAACATCAATTATTTTTTGAGTTCGTGAGGAAGCAACCTTTTCTAAGGCCGGTTCCAAACACTTATACCGTCTAGTGCCATAAAAACATGATGCAGGAACTGCTGGTACGCCCGTAATATTCATTGTTTACTGAAAAAATACGTTTTTCCAATTAATAAGATTTTTCACATAACATCTAATAACAGGACATTAGCCCACTATACTCATATGAGTACAGTGATTATTTTTTACTTACCAATTTGCGTATTTTGGAGTTTGCTTTACAAAAGTGATAAAAATAGTTCAGTTGCACTTACAACAATCCACAAACACCAAAATTAGCTCATCAACACTAAAAAACGGCGTTTCGTAAATATTTTCATTCAATAACCTCAAGATATGCGTCAAACACTTAGGGAAGTACCGAATAGAAGACCTACAGAATAGCCAATATACATTTTCAACCCAAACACGCATCGACATCTATCAGCTAATTTATAAAGGTTCGACATAATGAAATGTTTTGTTTAGTGCTAGCTAGATGGCAGCAAAATACAGTTTTGTAAGCTGTACCCGTCTGAGTGCTGTGAGCGTTAATGGGTTAAAATAAGGCGTATTTTATGGAAAAATCGTTTTTTTTTCAAATTTCGCCCGTGGGCGTTAATGGGTTAATTCTTTTAACAGAAGTCTCGAGCTTTCGGCACGCTATGGAGCCATCATCAGGAGCAGAAACTCTAATATGAAGCTAGCAACCAATACGGAAAAGATTTAAATTTTCAGACAACTTACTCGTCGCTGAGGTTGCAACCAAATGGTGTGTCAAAACGAAAGCGTGGATGAGAGCACTTGTTGCAATGATAAAACGAAACGGACGGACACATTGGGTTTTTTTGGTAACGACGGAACCTATGATTAAGTGTTAACACTATATATCAATACACCCGAACACATTTGAAATTATCGAACTGCAATTTTGGGGAAAAACACGGCAGAGTCCCTTTTAACCTCCTACATCTGTTTCACGTGGAGATAATGAGCGAAACCGAAAGAGTGATGCGTCGACAGATGACAGATGACTGTCGCGAAGGAATGTGGAAATGTAAAAATCATTGCCAAATTTCAGGAATAGTGTATACGAGGGACACTCGAAACAGAAGCTCATCATATTTCCCAAATTGATGGATTAGTTTTGTTTTAGAAAAGTGTAATTCATATGAGTGTAAGATGGTGATACACGCTTGAAAAGATGGGTTGTATGATGATATATTAATATTATTTATTATTGTTGTGAGACATTGGAAACAACAATTTTTTTAATTTTTTGTTTCAATTAACAGGATAAATAAATGGAATTTTGTTTTAATTTTGGGAGGATGTTAGATCAACTAGATATGTAGTCATTCTAAATTCTCGCAATTCAGCAAGTAAGAAAGTAAGAATAAATGACACTAAGCTGCTTAACACTAATACTGCCATAACTCATAGAATGACCTGTGGTGTTAACATGTCACTTCTGTGTGAGGTTATCCTGTCTTTCAGTGATCTCGATGTTTAGCCTATGTAAACTAAATTGCAAGTGTTACTATTAATGCAGTAGACAGAATAAGGCTTAGGCAGAACTATGAAGAATTTCAAACTGTGGCTGCGCTGAAACAGGCGCTGGTGAACAAATGGGAGCAAATACCCCAAGCCACAATAGCGGGTTTAATTGAGTCTAAGGCAGAGAGGATGAGAGCTGTTATTCAAGACCGGGGAGGAAGTACTCGTTTTTGATAACCATTTCTTATTACCAATGATGTCTCTGTAATTTTTAAGTTAGATTGTTTACGGCTATGATTCGCATGATTTTCTTCAAAACAGCTTATATTCTTCAATAACTGAGATATTGACATGCATAAAAAAAAAGACCAGATGAGAAAAGTTGAGGTACAATTCTCATACGAAGACACATTATTCAGTAATCCAATGTTTCCACAGGGTGTTCAGAAATTTACGACAAAATGCCCTTTTTAGTTACACCCTGTAATTAGCTACAACTTGACGAAAAAATTAGCGAAATTGATGCAAAGGTTAAAAAGTTATTTCAAATTTAATTTGAACAAACTTTGTTCGTCCGGTCAATTTTGTGTGGCAGTGTATTTAGAAAAACCGAGCAGATCTCAAGCATGGTGTCTCACTGTTTCTAGTATCAGGTATTCCGCACTGCTGCATGGCTGAAGTTTATATGCTGTACCATTTATAAATAATTGCTTTGGTTTCTTTTCCTTATTTAATTTATTCCTGTGTATCAACAATAACTAAGCGATGCACATCGTAACAGAGATAGTAACTCTGTCCTGTGGAACGTAAGTATACCCAGTACGACTGGCTCCTTGATCATCCTCTCCAGAGCGAAAATCGTACGGCGGTTTTTCACTTTGGTAGGCATGTCATCCAAAAGAATGCACTTAAACTACACAATTTGTTCTGAACTAGTTCGGAACAGTTTGTCGGAATAAACCACTCACCTTTGCTCGAACGCCTATGTGCCGTGATATCCAGCTTGCGTAGGCGCAAGGCAGAAGACACGGCATCAGGGTTATATTCAGATTTAGAAATACACCCTCTTGCATGGAAACTTTTCTCCGTGAACTCTCTGCATATATATTAGGTATGTATATATGCATTTTGTCTTATACACCTCCGAAATGCACTATGCTCTATACGAATACGCCTCCAAAATCGGAGGCGAATTGGAAAATTCGGAGGCCAAAACGTATCGACGTGTATAACATGTTTAATCGTCGTGTGACGTATCAAAACACATTTTCCCAAATTTTTCGGTGGAGGCCAATTCGTCATGTGCACATATACAGTTATACAATTCAGTTCAGGAATTTTTTAATAGATGGCACTCAAGTCTTATACACTTATACACGACATATTGTGGGCTTTACCACTTTACCTCCATGCATTCTTCAGTCAATGCGCCTCCGAAATTTGGCAACATTACATGGAGGCGAATTGGATGATCTAATGGCATGGAGTTGAATTGGACGGTTTATATATACTCATGTATATTCGGTGTCTCATATGTATAAGAAAGCGAAAATTTAGTTTTGACAGTTCAAGAATTCGCAGTTTGTGATAGATTTTTTTAAATTCTAATAAAGAAGATAAATAAAAGTAAAATTCACATTCGCATGACTTTTTCCCTCTACATGATGACTTAATTAGATTTTTGATCCGACGATTCGTTCATTCGTAATTATAATCAAATGACGTTGATGATGGTTTTTCTCATCCGAAATATCGAATAAATGTAAAGAGCGATATGTAGTTGGATTTTGAATTAAAAGGTTGCCGTGAAACGAAACGTCAGATTGACAATCTAATAACATCAGCTTGTACAGCAGAAAAAGTAGCAAGGGGAATGTGAAACATTTACTGTCATATATTATCAAATATAATCAGACGAAAATAAGAACGGAATCGTGGAAATTCTGTTAACTTGGATTATTAAAAAAGCACAACTAAACAAAAATTTTATTTATTTTTAAATAAACAAAAATAAAATATTTTGAGAAAGCACAGTTTCCTAATATTTTAAACAAAGTTTCTGCATTATTAAAGAAACATTTTGAAATAAATTGATTTATTCTGTTTAATGGTGAAATGAAATTGTGCTTTTTCCAAAATCCAGGTAACTAGAACTTCACGGTTTTGGTTCCGAATTTTATAAATACCGATACAATTGCTTATATCTCAAATATCTTTTGATCAGTACCTCACAACATAAAACCTATAGGTTTTAAAAACAATTGCACAAACTAAAAAATTAGCAAGGAAAGAATAGTTTTTCGAGTGTCTGAAAATTATAAATAAGATAGATGTCAGAATGTGACATAAAACACTGGATGACATAATGAACATTATCTCAAAACGAATCTTTATTATACAAGATGATGTAATTCTGAATAAGAATTTCTTTATTTTAAATGTAATGACGTCGCAAAGAACTGGTAGTTTGAAAGAAATTTCCAACACAACTTAAATTTTGTAGTCAGATTTACTTCTAAAATTCACAAACTCTGTGGATGAAAAAGCACGTCTTCAAGAAAAATGTACTGTTTAGTTCAACTATTTATCTAGTTTACACACAACTTTGACAACATTTTGAAAAATTTAGTGGACCAGAATTTGTTGTAGTAGATTGAATGGCTTCTGTATATTCAGTGAAAAAATGACAAAATAATAATAAAAATCTTCGACGCTTTGTACTCTTGCATTTATAGAAGCTTTTTTATATCAGCTCACAGATTTTTCTACATATCCTTAAAACACAACTCAGAGCAACCAGTGATCTGTATAAGATACCTTTGAAAAACAAATATTTTTATATTGCCGGATACAGTGTCACACATAAAGTTAGAATCATATGGGATTTTTTTTTTCTTAAACTATTTAGAAAGAATTTGATTTCGCGGTTAGTTTTTGCTAAATGATGCCAAATAACATGCATATGAGCAATTACGTGACCATTCTTCATAGTCAAAATTGAGGATTCTTTGTTCAAATCTCAAAAACCCAACTCTCTTCTCAAAATTTCGGGAAATGCTAAAGGAAAAAGTTGTTTGTCTTTCAATTCTTTATTTACATCCGAATTTTCAACTGTCTAATACAAATTCCAAATTTATTTCACATTTGTGAATTTTTCAAATTTCACCAAAGCTCAAAAAAATATATACTACTGACTGAACAAAGCTTCACTTATTTCTATAGATATTATAGACAAAAGTTTTCACGCGAACCCAGTCTTTGTCATGGAATATCTCGGGATACTTTCCTATTAACTGCATGCATTCATTCTTTTTGGGGGCCTTTTTTGTGCTAATGTGGGACTTGAAATGTTTTTTCACTAGAAGAGCCTGTTCAGAAGTCCAGAATGTCCTCCCTGATATTTTCTTCTTCGATACTGGTCGACTTTCTTCTTCCGGGATTGCTTAAAGTAAGTTATTAATAAATATCAACATTCTGTTATTCTAATAGATGGGAGGGATGGTCATTTAGTGTTTGAATCGAATTGTATTTTAAAAGCAAAAAATCTAATAAGAGGTAATTAGTGTCGTTTCTAGAGTGAATGTTCGTTGTACTAAACTCTTGAAACATTTTTTCTTTCCTATCCATGTACTAATTGGTACTTGATATGCGATATTAAAAAACATGTTTTTTTATTCTGAAAGTTTTCAACAGCTTGAGAATGGCTCTGCGTTTAATAAATTGATATTCAATATTACTATTAAAGTTATACGTACGATTTACATCAAGGACGTTTAAATACACTGACTAAATGAGTCAAAGGGTATATAAACTTGCATTGCTTTTCTTCAGTAGAACGATCAGAAATTGCTTTGGCCAAAAGGGGCATGAATATAGTATTTTGTTAAGGTTAAGTAGAATAGCAATATATGGCTAAACTTCGCCGATTTGTAATATAATTACAAATAAAGTCCTGTTATTATTATTATTATTATTATTATTATTATTATTATTATTATTATTATTATTATTATTATTATTATTATTATTATTATTATTAATAGAAATACTTATTAATAATTTTATACTATCGATAATAAATATTTTTATAAGATCTACGCGGAAAGAGAATTAAATTACTAAAATAGCTGCAATTTTATTTTTATCAATTGATACGTTTTGCCGCATACATTTAAGCTTTGCAGAAACAGCCATATTTACTGATCACTTTTGACTTTTCACTGATTACCTTGAAATGCCGTACAGTCAGATTCATTTGCATCTAGGAAATCGTTATCTTCATTATCTGATTCTTCTTCAGCAAATTCACTCATTGGATTAATATTAATTTCATTTAGCGACTTTCCTTTATACTTGTCAACGCCCTTTTCCATTAACATTAGGAGTTTGGAAATTTTTGCGGTTTGGTACACATCTTGTGGCAGCCTAGAAAACAAAGTACTTAAAGAGTGAAAAATATGCAGAGTGTCACTAAATTGTTACTCAAAATTTCAAACACAAATCGAACTTCAAAAAATAGTTAAAACATCTCCTATGAACAATGGACCCGGAAATGTTTAGTTTCCAAGATAGAGAATGGTAAAGTTGAAAATTGAAATTCGAATTTTTTTGAATTTTATAAACATTTCTCAATGTATTACTTTTAAAATTGGTCCAGAGGAAATTTTTCAACTACATATTTTCTGATTTATTTGTAGGTAAACTTTTAAATACTAATTTAGCGACATCCTGTATATATTCATTTGAAATTCATATTGGTCTTGATCCAGGAAAAAGGAAACGTCAATTTATTAAGCATAAGTAAGTTTGTTACATCTGAGATAAAAATCATGACATCAAATAAAATTTTTTTCATTGTCGGTTTTTTCAATTCAAAGTGAATCCTATGCCGATCTTCAATTGTTATCGAGAAATGGGCGTCTGAATTTGATACTTTAACGCATTGATATATTTAGACTAATCAAGTTAGATCAAAATGGTTGCCACTTTCTTATAGCAAGATCCATTACCTATCCGATACCATTAGTCATAAATAGTAGGAAAAAGCTGACCACCAGGTGAAATTCAGAATAAGTATTGTTGGATGTTAAGAAAAAAGTGGAAGTACTTTGACTTGATCTTTTTAAACGCCACAAGATCACAAAGTTAAAATTGTGAATAATTCGACACCATTTTCTCAAAATCATTTGAAAATCGGGAATGTAACTTAGAATTTCAGATGCTAATCAAAAATAGGGTCCCTATTTGAACACATTTCTACTGACATCCTTTTACTCTAAAATAAAAGTAACTGCGTAATATTTCTTCAGGGCATTTTTACAATAACGAAAACTTGAATTTCAAATGAATGTATGCCGTAATTTATTGTAGGGAGAACTTACTTATAAAATTCATTGTGGGTTTTTTCAGTATGTCCCATGAAGTGGGCGAATTGTTCACTCTCTTCCTTACTAAGGTTAAGAATTTGCATTACCGTTGCAATTTGCTTCCGTAATCTGTTAGAAGATATTTGTTTGGGAAATTCTAGATCAGCTTCTTGGGCAAATTTCCGTATAATAACATCCCCTCTTGTCCACTTCGAAGTTCCAGGACACCCAAATAAATATGGATTATTTTCGGGTACTAAGTGATGTTCTTGGCGGATTTTAACAAAGAAATCTATATAGGTTTGTAATGTTTGAGGGAATAGAATAGCTATGGGTCTACTACCTTTTCCACCTGTCACAATGCGTTTATAATATTTTGTTAGTATTTTTTCTGACTGAGACAATGCTTTTTCACACTCCTCTTGGTTAACCGGTTTCCAGTAGTTGATGTATGTACTTAATTTTGTGTATTGAACGTCGCCTATTCTTTTTCTGTTAAATAATATCGTTAAAATAAGAGAAGCCTGAATCAACTTTTTCATTTCTTTCCTATCAGTTGGATTGAGTGTTAGACAGGTCATTGCTTTATTTGCCACATTGGTAACGTAGTCTTTGAATTTCGTTATGTCCCGAGTTAAAGGTAACATTGCTGGTTTCTCCCATTGTTTTTCATTAAGGTCTTTAAATGCTAAGCTACTGATTTCCGTGGTCCACTGTGTATTTATGAGTTCTCGAAATCTGTTTATATCTCTTAATGCCTCTTCTTTATCAGAGATTCTTAAAGCTTCATCCTCTTTCAGGACCAGTCTTGTGAAAAGTTCACAAACTTGTTTTAATGAAGTTCCCAGATGTGCAGGTAGGCTAGGTGCACGATATGTCTTAGAATATTTTTCATATCCCCCTACATGTTTTGCGCATTCGACTGTCATATCAAACAATTTTGGTTTAAAAACGTCTTGTAGCCTGAATTTTGAGTTATTTGTCATTTTTCTGAATTGTATCAGAAACCGTGCCAATTCTCTCATTTTATTGGAACAAACTGTAACGAGTTGTTCTCTTCTGTGTTTTTTGAGATAGTTTTCTCCAAAGTTATAATTAGGTAGTCGGATTTCGCAACCAAGGAGATATAATCAGGTTTCATTCGGTCAAAGACTTCCTCTTTTACTCTCAGTTTGTGCAAGTTACTATTATCATCAAAAGAACTAGCTATTAATGTTTGTGATGCTGCTAGTGAATTCATCTTACGAATTTCATTATTATTCGTGTGTTTCAGTATGCAGTTTTTTTTATGACGTGACAAATACGATTTAGACAGCATTGCTTTGCAGCGTGAACATGGGTAATATTCTTTAGATTCTGTCTTATAATGATACTTAGGCTGTACATTGCCTTTAAGATACTCTGTAAAATTTGCTGCATTTCTCAACAAACTTAGAATTTTTTCCTTTCAGGATGGCTTTTTGGAAAAGACATCATATCTTGTACCTCTTTAGTATCATCGTGGTTCCGCTCAAGATGCCTCTCAAAATTTGTTACATCTGTCTGACAAAACTTACACTTTGTTCTCTTTTTTTTCGTTGTTGTCTGAAAAATGTAAAAAAAAAATGATTTTTTTAAATTTCTGCAAAAATGCTGATAGAAATTGATAATGAAACAATACAAGTTTGAGGGAGAGGCTTGGCATTTTCGGTGATATCTTGATTTAAAAAATGAGCTGGCCTGGCTTTTTAGCTACAATATTTTATGACTGATAAATTTTTTATATTTCTGACAGTGAGAATCTTGTCAAAGATTTTTGATGACCAGCAGTTATTTACTAGAAACAACGATACAATGGTGCTAATTTGAGACTGACAAAATAATTTAATCATGCCTTTAGGAATAATAGGTGACTCAAGGTAAAGTTAAAATATTAGTCTAGAATTTCAAAGCTTATAAATATTATATTCCCACAAAGTAAGAAAACGTCTAGCAAAATATTTTACTCTAGAATTAAAGATTTGATTATCAAGTTAATAAAATATCCGCAGTAATATTTTGTATATGATTATTTCCAAGTGAAGTTTTTATGGTTTGAACTTACTTTAGTTTGAGTCTCCGATATTTGATTGAAATTGGACACATCAATGTTACTCAGGATAACAATTTTAGGGGACTTTTCATTTAGCTGTTCATCCTGAAAAAATATTAGTAAGTTTCCATCAAATACAGATATACAGTATTTAACTGAAAATTTGCATCATAAAAGGGTAAAATCATTTTTAGAGAATCTGTTTATTACCAAAAAGAAAAAATACGAAACGTTTCACTTGTCTAAAAAATGGCGTCAAGTAAATTGACTTGGCACTTCCCTCACACCGCCAAGTTTAAAGACTTTGGAAATTTAAGAACTGAAATATTGTCTTTCCAACAAAATGTACGGAGAAATCTAAGCATTGAATTACTGCTTTAGGATACGTACTAACGTCAAAAAACTGAACAAAACCCTCCCCCCACCCTCTACCGCCTTCTGCCACCCCCAACCCCCAATTTTTGACCCCTACAAAAAATTTTAAAAATCAGGAACCTCTGAAACGTCCAAAAACGAAGTTTGAGCGATTTTAATTTTTTTTGTTTTTTGCTTCTAGCACCGCCGCACTGGATAACTATTCAAAAACTATAAAGGTTTCCGTCCTTGACATAATAGTAACCTTGTGTCTTGTAATAATTTGGAAATTTAAACAGAAAATTTGGATTTTTTTTTTTAGAATCTGAATATATCTGAATTATTCTGTTTTACTTCCCTCGCCAACTGGCGGGAAAGTATTGTAATCGCGAAAAAATCGAAATTGAGATGTTATGTTTTTGGATATCACATGACATGTACATCACGAAAAACCATGTCACTCATTTCCGTCAGTCTGTCTGTCTGTCTGTCCGCTAATCCTATAAGCCCGTATAAGTTGGAAAGTACCAGTCGGATTTTGATGAAATTTTTACACAAGGTTACTATTATGCCAAGGACGTAAAAGCTTTATACTTTTTGAAAATCGATCCAGTGGCGGCGGTGCTAGAGGTAAAAAACGAAAAAAAAAAAATAAAAAAGCTCAAATTTCGTTTCTGGACGTTTCAGACGTCCCTGATCATTTTTGGAATTTTTTGTAGGGGTTGAAAAATTGGGAGTTGGGGGCAGCAGGGGGCGGGGGCGGGTATGATTCAATTTTGGACGCTATTATTTTATACGTATCCTAACACAGTAATTCACTGCTACAATTAGGATTTATTTCGCAATCAGATTTCTCCGTACATTTATTCAAAAAATTTCAGATATTTTCAGATTCTAAAAAAAAATCCATATTTTCTGTTTAAATTTTGAAATTATTACAAGACACAAGGTTACTATTATGTCAAGGACAAAAAACATTTATAGTTTTTGAAAAGTTATCCAGTGGCGGCGGTGCTAGAGGCAAAAAACGTAAAAAAATCAAAATCGCTCAAACTTCGTTTTGGACGTTTCAGAGGCTCCTGATTTTTGATATTTTTTTGTAGGGGTCTAAAATTGGGGGTTGGGGGTGGTAGAAGGCGGTAGAAGGTGGGGGGAGGGTTTTATTCAGTTTTTTGACGTTAGTACGTATCCTAAAGCAGTAATTCAACGCAGCTATTTGTATATATTCCACACTTAGATTTCTCCGTACATTTGTTAGAAAGACAATATTTCAGTTCCTAAATTTCCAAGGTCTTTAATCTTGGCGTTGCGAGGGAAGTGCCAAATCAATTTACTTGACGCCATTTTTTCGAACAAATGTACGGAGAAATCTCATTGCGAAATATATCCTAATTGTAGCGGTGAATTACTGTGTTAGGATACCTTTAAAATAAAAGCGTCAAAAAATTGAATCATACCCGCCCCCGCCCCCCCTACTGCCCCAACCCCCAATTTTCAACCCCTACAAAAAAATTCAAAAATGATCAGGGACGTCTGAAACGTCCAGAAACGAGATTTGAGCTTTTTTTATTTATTTTTTTCGTTTTTACCTCCAGCACCGCCGCCACTGGATCGATTTCAAAAATTATAAAGCTTTTACGTCCTTGGCATAATAGTAACCTTGTGTAAAAATTTCTTCAAATCCGACTGGTACTTTCCCAACTTATACGGGCTTATAGGATTAGCAGACAGACAGACAGACAGACAGACAGACAGAGCGACAGACAGACAGAGCGACAGACAGACAGACTGACGGAAATGAGTGACATGGTTTTTCGTGATGTACATGTCATGTGACCTCCAAAAAACATAACATCTCAATTCGATTTTGTTCGCGATTACAATACTTCCCCGCCGATTTTTTCGGAAATTCATTTTTAATGCAGATATATCGGGAGGCTCCTTTTAAATGGAACGCACTGTAAATATACTTCTATCGTATTTTAATTGGAAAAATGAAATAAAAATTTCTGCTACTTACAGTGGAAACGATATCCGATCTCATATTTCTTCCACTGCAGCGTTATTTTGTTCTTCTTTCTTTTTAACTTCCTTTTTTTCTAACTCTTTTTCATTATTTTTCTCTATTGTCAATACATCCTAGAATATGTTTATGAATACAATAGTTAAAAACTGAATTATCTTCAAGAGTTATAATGAGTAGAAAAAGTCAAACCTCAGTTTTTTTGAAGATCGAAAAAGTCGTTTGCTTATCTTTAACTTCTGGTTTAAATGTGGGATCCTTCATCGAGTCATCGGAATCGAATCGAGGAACGACATATCACCAGAAATCGATGGAGCGGGACTACTTTCATATTCATATTCATCTTCTGGAAAATCATTAAATCGAAAATAAAATTATTCAAAACCATAACCTAACAAATATATTTCCATTAAACGACTCCAGACTATTGTTTGAATTAACTAAATAATACATTAAAAATGTGATTTTTTTTTGAATTTTTCATAAATCAAATAATTAAGTTAGTATTCAATTTGATCACCTAATTCAATAGACATGGAATAAAATACATCACCTTTATCCTCTTTTTCCTTGTATTATCTAAGCTGTTTAGAATTTTTCTAGCTCTGATGTTGGCTATATAAAATGCAGAGAATTATTATATTATTTCTTAAACTAAAATCATTATCACTTACATATTCATTTTGTATTGTGGAACTGGAGACCGAAACAAAGCCATACACACACACACACACTCTGAGCACGTTAACTAGACTAACACGACACCGAAGATCTGAAAATATTTAAGCATTGTCAAATAATATTTTTCAGGATTCTAAAAATAGCTCAAGGTCAGCAATTTTTACTATTAAGAACCGGCAACGCCGCGCGGAGGCTGATTAGTCAACCAACATAGCAAACTATATACAAACGGAGGTATATTAGCAAATAAGTGGTCGGAGGCATCTTACATTTAAAAGTATAGCGAAAATCTGTATAATTTAAAAAAGACATATTTTTACCCCTCTCAGGGGGAAATGAGAAAAACAATGGACGGGAATCTTTCTGTAACCAATATACACTGAGATATGTAGTATTTCAGCCGGAGGCCAGGGTGCCTGTTTCGTATGTGGAGGCGAGAAGGTTAGCTGTGCATGTATATATATATATATCTATACACAATTAATTGTTAATTGGGAAATTGGCAAACCTTTTAGGCTTTAGTTAACTCTTTTAACTGTAATCTCGAGCTTTCAGCAATTCTCTATGGAGCCTTCATCAGGAGCTGAAAACACAATTATGATGCTAGCAGCTCCTGATGAAGGCTCCATAGAGAATTGCCAAAAGCTCGAGATTACCGTTAAAAGAGTTATCTAAAAGTTTTCCAATTTCCCAATTAACAATTGATTGTATTTTTTTGTCCAACTGGTCGTTTGCAATGGCAATGACTACTGCTCACATTATATATAATATATAATCATCTAGTTAGAAGCCTGGTACGACGACTGGTCGAATGTATATGGCATTAAGGCGGCAAATTAAATAAAACATGTCTAACCGTCTACAGAGACATACGTATTGCACGCTTCTACAGATTACGACGTCAGTGCTATATGGATTTCTGTGTATAAAATTTCATCCAGGTAAAGCCATGTATGCTGGGTGTTCCATTGTCTTTGTCGCTCAGTATATTACCAGTCTGTAATATAAACCTGTTATCCTGCTTATCGTCCAGGGAATAGAAGCATATACAACCAGAATAAGTCCAGTATAAAGGCATACTGCGAATAAGAGAGCTTTGAGTCATCATTCCGTCTAAGCGCCACCGGAAACCCGTACAGGTCTGCAATCATTCCCACAAGTTCCAGTGGCGGGTTATAAATGCTTATTAATATATTTCATACGGACAAAATATACGCCTATCTTGCAGTGTAATCTCCGCTCGTCAAGCATTGGTTCCAGGGGATTATTTTAACCTATAAGCGATATCAGGACGACCGGACAGAAAATCAACATGTGAAACTCGGCAAACATTATAAATTCGTAGTAGTGGTAAAGGATACGTTAGTTATGTGGCAGAACTAATATTTTTCAAATATCGGCCAAATAATCCAGATTTTGAAATCATTGATTTCTTACAGTTGAAGCATTAAAGATTCACGAATAGTTGGATGAAGTAGAATATGGATTTTTCTGTATTTATGGTTGCGTTTGATACAATTGCAGTATTAAGACCTCATTTTTATGACATTTGGACACAAAATGTATTATGAACAGATCAGTGTAGAGTTGTATTTATTTTACAAACTGATATTTACTATATACGGGTCTATCAAAAACGTTCTGGGTTTTCAATTAGAACATCTGAATGTGAATATTTGTAAATATCTTATTAGTTATGTGTAAGAAAATGAGAAAAACAATAAATGGAATCTGTCATGCAGGTTTTAAATTCAGATCAAAATGTGTAGTTAATTTTCTTCCTTTTCCATTAAATATCATATTCCTGAGCAGTATAGTATCGTATCAAAGCATTACGGATGTTTTAGTCTATAATCGTCGTGTATCATGTATACAGGGTGTTTCAAATTACCCTCACCATTGGGTTCCCGGAGACTGTAAGAGATACGAAGTCGCTTAAATGGGGACAAAGTTGCGTATTTAAGTAATCAACAAAATGCGACTTAGAAATTTTCGAAATTCAAAGTACAGGGTGGCCAATATGTATCTGACTGATTTAAATTACGCGCCATTTTTGATACACGCATTTCAGTAGTTGGCGCCCGTAGTAGTCGTTTAAAGCTCATGTGTCCAATTCATCATGGAGAGTCACACGATCCGTCAAGGCGTCCGTATTGTTAAAACGTTTTACTTAAATAATGAGTCGATTGTTGTAATGATTCGGGAGAGCGACAAGACTTCGGTCGAAATGATGTGAACAGTGTCAACCCCATTCGTCAGTTGGAGCCGAAATTTAAAACAAACAGGTCGTTCTCCAGAACTGGGTATTCGTCGCACGCATCGTCATGCACTATTTTAAAAATGACTTGCATTTGCGGCCATACAAAACTCAGTTAACCCAAGAACTACAGCCTAGCGATCATGAAAGTCGACGACAATAGTCACTATTGCAGCTTAATATCCAAAATAAGGATTTTTTTGCGACATCTGATAAATGAGCGATGAAGCCCACTTCGATATGAACGGATTTGTTAATAAGCAGAAATGTTCTATCTGGGCATTAGAGAACCCTCGTGTCATCAATTAACGACCACTACATCCTCGTCGAGTCACAATTTGGAGCGGTGTTTGATATGGAGGTGTCATTGGACCTTAATTCTTTGAAGATGCTGCAGGTAATTCTTACTATCACTGGCGAGCGCTACCGTGATATGGTGCAAAACTTTCTGGGTCCTTAAATCCAACAATTTAACGTGCAAAACATGTCGTTCCAGCAGGACAGAGCAACTTGTCACACAGCTAAGGAAACAATTAATCTTTTGCGAACAATATTTCCGGGACGTTTAATTTCTCGATTTGGTGGCCAACTGGCCACCAAGGTCTCCGGATTTAACGGCTCCTGACTTTTTATGGGGTTGTTTGAAAAATAGGGTTTATACCAACAAACCAAGTACTGTTAGAGCAGCTGAAGAACAATATTACGAAGCGATTGAAAATATTCCTCCCGAAACCTACCAAAAAGTGATGGAAATTGTAATCAAGATTGCTCAGGTTTGTGCGGCTTCTAGAGGCAGACATTTGTCTGATATTATTTTTCATACATAATTTCTAAGTTTTAATAAAATATTATGGAAAAATGGACGTATTTCATTTCATAAATATTCATGATACAAACCAGTCAGTTACATATCGGCCACCCTGTACTTCCGGAGAGACGGAAAAAAAAATTTTTTATATTGTAGTGGGACGTCAAAATAAATTGCACATTAGCATTGCCACTGTTTTCCTCTACAAGATATAATTAGAATTTCAATATGACGTTTCGTTATTTGCCCTTCAGCATCAACTTTATTTTTCCTTATGGATGACATATGCAATTTTTGCGCAGGTGAATAGTTTCTAAATCAGATTTCAAGAATGTATACATCAGTGGTGGCTCGTGGCAAAATAAAACAGGTGTTCTGCAAATCCGAAAATACCTATTTTTTATATGTCAGTTCGATCCTGAGCTCCTTGGCAGCAAATTTGTCGATCACCCTCCCGTTGAAATTTTCCTTTGTCGAAATAAATTCCTTTTTAGTGGACAGCATCGACAACGCTATAAGGCGAACCTGGGTCATAGTATTACGAAGAAAAGTCTTGATTCTTTTCAATGTTGAGAAATTTCGCTCAGCCTCTGATGTTGACATAGGAGTTGTAACAATAATTTCTAATAGCTTTTTTGGTTCTTTTAGTGTTTCCTCCAAACTATTTTGTATCAAAAATTTCAAAAGAGACAGAGTTCCATGTAAATCTCGGCAATTAGTCAGTGCATAAATAACAGACAACTGTGTCTTTAACAAACTGTTTTCTATTTCGGGATAAACCAAGCAGGTAGTTTCCAACTTGTCATCAGGACACTTACCACAGTATTCTCCAAAGTGTTCGGGGAATTCACTATATTGTCGCATACTTCTAATGCGGCAACTCGGTGATCGTGACTGCTATTACTACGTCGTCTCCTTTGTTGCCTTGGGGTTCAGTGCAAATACTTTTGGCTTCATTTATTATGTCATCAATTTTATTTCTCACATCGACAATACATTTTTCAAAATTATCGATAGCCGTTTTAACTTGCGCTAGCTCGGTTTTTCTCTTCTGCAACTGGTTGAACAAGATGTTCATGTGAGGCATGACATGATGAAAAAATGTCAACCAAAACACGAAAACAGAATCGTTCAACATACGGCGAATACCGCAAGCTGCCTTGCAAACGGTTTCATTATGAAATTTTCAGGTTTAACTGATGCGCATAGCAATGCACATAGTGCGTAAATGGATATCTTTGTTTAATTTTTGCCTGTACACCAGCATTACGTCCACTCATTACCGCGGCTTTGTGAAATCAGTTTGTTAGAGAAATTTCCTCTTAATGGATCTACGACGCTCAAATATGTCTTGTGAAAGTACCAGCGTCACATTTTCGGGATTCATATAATTCCATAAACGTTCTACTGGTTCGCCGTTAAATACGTATCTGAAAATTGTTACCACTTGGGTTTTCCCCGAAATGTCCGTTGTTTCATCTGCTATTATCGCCAAATACGATTCTCCGTTAATCTGTTTTATTATTTCTACATGAAAACTTCTAGAATCAATCCAGTCGATCGTTTTTCTTTCGAAGTTCCTTTAAATATTGAAGCATTTTTTATGTGTTCGCTTAAGGTTGTATCAAGCTCAGCAGAAAAATTAATCAGTCCACGAAATATTTCCGGGTTTTGGGAGCTCTCGGTTTCGTCGTGGCCCCGTAGCGCGCCAATTCAAATGCTCCGCAAAATTTTATACCGAGCACCGACCGACCAATCAGATATCGTACTTCGCATTAGATCTGTACGGATCTGTATAACGTGCAGCACATGCTTATGCTTAAATGGCGCATATAATTTTGTAGAGAGAGACAAAAGCAAGCGCGTGCGGCTTGTGTCGAAGTAGTGCACAGACCACAGACCCTTTTCAAGTGGCCCATGAATAATGTTACGCTGCGATCGCGACGAAAATGACAAGTACACATTGGTCGATTATAATGCTTTCTCAATACAAACATACTCGACGCTGTGTCTTGCGGGCGCAGCGTTGCCGGTATTTTTTCTATTTGTGTGATAACATGGATAAATAATGATCAAATTACTACTGCTTTTTTCTGTTAAGACAAAAATTTTGGCAGTTCTGCAGCTCTGCAGAACTTAAGTGCCAGCCGCCCCTGGTATACATTGCTTAGTTATTTCAGAAAAACACAATTTCCTAGGTCGGCCTTGAAAGTACCAGATTTTATTTGTTTCGTATACCAAACCCGACCTCAAATTGAACGTAGCAACCATCAATAAAGATATAACTTTTAATCAATGATGTTTCCCACCAAAAGTGGCCGCATAGCGACGTCATTTTGGCGCCATCATGTTCAGTTGGTAGTATCTTTTAGCTTATGAATGTGAAGGTGTTTCTTCTGCGCATACAATGATGCAATGGAATTACATGTCAAATATTTATAAAATCCAATTTATGTTTATAATATTCCAAGTACAAAGATTGACGATATAGTTTTGTTTTCTGCTGTTATATCATAGTCTTGTTATAAAGATGTTGAAAGTGATGGTTTGTCTGTAATTACTATTTAGCCTAGTTTGAGCATATAATTTTATGTGATATCACTTCAGCTAAAACATATATATATATATATATATATATATATATATATATATATTGGATTTTAAAATACACCTAAATTTTGTGTGCTCAAGTAGACATATTGCAACAACATGATATACAAGACTATGTCAAAGTTTTAAAATACACCCACAGGTATCTCGAACTAATTTAAATGTATGATATAAAATTCATCTACAGAACCACCCACCAAAACGCCCTGTATAGGTGTTTAATACCACTAGCATTCAGCATAATTTAAGTAAAGATATTCGTCCGAAATATCAAGGGGGGTATTATTCGTGATCTCTACTCTCTGTACAATGTGTTACCTCGTCATTCGCTACGATTTCGTATCCGACTTTTATCACCGATTTCAATAATACGGTCCCTGCAGAATTGTTCACCCACATAGATCGTCAAATAGGTTTTGAGGTATATGACTGGCTTTAGCTGTAACTATGATTTATGCAGTAACAACCAGGGATGTTCCGACATGCACAATTGTGCATATTATGCACAATTTTACGATATATGCACAATATGCACCCGCCACACAAAATATGCACAATCGCCAATAAATAAAGTGCATTTTTTTATACAAAACTGGCAATGAATTTTCTTAGCAGCTGCATGAACGAGTGAAATGTTACTGTTAGACACATACAAAATACTAATCCATAATTATTTGTTACGCATCCGAGTCCCGATGATTGTTCATAATTGATGGCCTTAGTTAAATTTAATAAATAAATATTTTTTTTATTCTTGTATTATTTTCTTAAATTCGCATTGAACAATAAAAAGGTTCCATGAAATTTAAGTTTTTTTTTAAATTGGCGGTTGCGCCAGAAAATCAGTATACATATGCACATTTTTAAAGAAATATGCACAATTTCTATTAACATCTTTGCACAATTCAAAATCCATCGAGTAAAACTGGTAACAACCCATCCCAACCCCACAATGACAAATATGACAGATGCTTTAAACCTCAACTTAACCTCAAATAATTCTGATAGTTATTCAAAAATATCAATAAGTTCAGGGGGACAATTCATGTAAATATATCAGCTTGTCATTAAAAATCCTGATTAGAGTGCATTCAACACGCTGACCTTTGCTCCAAAGTTGGTATTGGTCGGTAGTTGATGGTGAGCGAATGATTTTCTGATTATAAATTATTTTTTACATTCACTATCAGCAGCTTTTTGAGAGCCAAAAATGAAAAAAACCTCGTTATTTAATTATGAAAGCTTGGTGCACGCCACAGCTGCAGTTGCTGTAAGTATATATTTTTACATTAATAGGATTTAGGAAAATAGTTTGGTTACTTCAATGAGTTAATAGGTAATTAATTAAATTAAAAATATTGCAGCAGATAAATGATACATGTATAGTATTTTCAGTCATTACCTCATGAAGTAGTGTAATTTTACATTCTTTTACTTGAAGCTGATACCTTATAACTAATTTCATATAATTGGATTTTTCTGCACAAGTTTTCTTTTCTTAGCTAAAAAAACATGTGAATCCTGCAGGTTTTGCAGACCAAACCTTGCATATAATTACTAATAACTCATCATATGTCACTCAGAGACCTTAGCTTCGGTAAACAACTATTCCACTTGACTTTGTAGTCAAGTGGAATAGTACAGCAACCCTGTTTTGTCAGTAGATATGGCCAATCATGTAATTTTAGTTCCCATCAAATTAAATTTTCACTCAAGATCAGTTTTTAAATCAGTTTAGGATTTTAAATTGTAAGGCTACCTCCTCACGGTATCTGGTCATCCAATGAGGAAGAGAGAGGTTTTGTATTTCAGCCATGAATGTCTATAGATAGATGCAAGAAAAGTCATATGTGTGTGTCAGTACATATGCAGAAACATTGTCAGATTTAGAGGCAGGGTATTTTTCAATAAACACACATGTTGCTCTAGTTTTTTGCAAAAGTTATTTTGCTACTGGAGTCATGGATACATGCTCCCCTTCTTATACATATCCCAACCCCACTCTCTACTTGTTGCCATGGAATTAGAAGCCCTGCTTCACAATGACTTACACTGCATCATCAAAGCCCAATACACTAAACACCTTGATACCCAAAATAACGATGAAAATATGAAGAGCAAATATTAAAAAAAATAATGAGAAACTGGCCAAGTTAGTAGTTGTAGTGGTAAAAAAATTTATTAAGCACATTTGGCTACATAAATGGAATAATTATTAACAACTTGGAATTAGTAAATACAAGCCATATGATGTGCATGTTGGGCAAGCTATATAGTCCAGTTAAATAGCCGAAACTGAGCAACTGTGATAACATAGCCACAAAGTTATTTCCGCTGGCGTAATGGTGTAATAAAGGATTGCGAATATTGTTGTATGAATTTGGTTTTCCGGAAAGCAGAAGTTTTTTCTAAAACAGCGAAAAACCCAAAAAAGCTGTTTTTCGCTGAAACTACTGAGGATATCTGGGATTTTTTTACACGCAAATTTTTCTAATTTTTGGGCCATCAAAAACGTCTTTACACATTTTTGCATAAAATGCGTAGCTTTCGCGCTACAGCTTGCTGATACAGTGGACTTCCAGTAATCTGACAAACATTATCAGGGCAGTGTCAGACTATCGAATTTGTCGGATTAGAGCACTGCCAAGACCCCCTATTGTCCTGAATTTTCTACAAAGGAGTACCTTGTAATCCGACAAATTACATATCCTATGGTAAGATTATATATGTTATGTATATGTATGTACTTTGAAGTTTCAAATCATACATAGTTTATGTATGTCGAATTAGTAAATTAAATAACAATAGAGAGCTTACGTTTTATTATAAAATTAAGCATAAATGCACATACATATGTACCAAAAAATCAAGAATTATCAATCAAAATCATTAATGGATTTATCAAATTATGAAGCTGGGAAATATTCATCAATTTTTTTTGTTTAAGGTTGTTATAACGCGAGATCAGAGCTTTGTTCCTCAGCCTTCTCAAAAGTAAAACTTCGTTGTAGGATTTCTCTTCAGCCCATTGTAAACTTAGCTCAAAGGCGTTAATTGCGTCTTGTGCTGTGACTTGTGGAGCAGTTGCAATCACGTCGTCGTTATTTTCCTGATTGTTTGTTGTATAGTTAGAAACCACTTTTAAATCTCTTCGTCAGACATTTCCTCTTTATCCATTTCACGGCACCAGATTCCAAATCTTCCGGACTTATCTGTGTTTCAGTAGCGACTTGTTCTATAACTTCCGAAGTTACACTGATTTGTGGAACGTTGCTAGGAGTGGTGACTATATCTGGCCATAACTTTTTCCAAGACGATTTAATATTGATGACGGTAACGCATTCCACGACTGACAAAGAGCAAAATCCAAGTCTTCATATTAAATTCTTTTAAAGTTTTTTCTATTGTTGGTCTTTTGATACGGCTCTCAGAAGTAGGTTTTTCTTATAGTCTTGCTTGACAAACTGAATGATATTCTGTCCGTTGGTTGAATCAGTGCAGTGCAATTTGGCGGAAGAAAATCGCAGT